GCAAGCGGAGAAACTGGCTTTCTCAACAGCCAGGAACTGTTTCTCACCCTGGACCTGGAGCCAGTACCCCCTGAACCCACCCAAGGCTGCTTCCTGGACCCAGCAGGTGGAGAAGGGACCTCTGGTGAGTGTACCTTTTAAAATACTATACATGGTTTAAAAGCAAGCATGTGAAAGGATTACTTTGCCCTGGCATTCGCGGCTCTCCTGGATGTACTCCCAAAGCCTTTGCAGAAGGTTTCTGGGGAGGGCAGCCTTATTGCGTCCTTCATGGTAGGACACTTTACCACTCCAGGCCAGTAACGCGTACTCAGGAATCATTGTACAACAAAGCATTGCAGTGTATGTTTGCTGGCGTTCAAACAACATCCGTTCTTTATCTCTCTGTGTTATCCTCAGGAGAGTGAGATATAATTCATGGTCACCTGGTTGAAATAGAGTGCTTTTCTTCAGGGGACACTCAGAGGAGCCCATTCCTGCTGGGCTGTTTGCCTGTGGCTAAACAGAAATGTTCCCCGCTGTTAGCCACGGGGAGGGGGAAGGGTTGAGGGGGTAGCCACGCGGTGGAGGGAGGCAAAATGTGACCTTGTAACGAAAGCACATGTGCTATGTATATAATGTTAATAGCAAGTTTCAGAGTAACAGCCGTGTTAGTCTGTATTCGCAAAAAGAAAAGGAGTACTTGTGGCACCTTAGAGACTAACCAATTTATTTGAGCATAAGCTTTCGTGAACTACAGCTCACTTCATCGGATGCATACTGTGGAAAGTGTAGAAGATCTTTTTATACACACAAAGCATGAAAAAATACCTCCCCCCACCCCACTCTCCTGCTGGTAATAGCTTATCTAAAGTGATCACTCTCCTTACAATGTGAATGATAATCAAGTTGGGCCATTTCCAGCACAAATCCAGGTTTTCTCACCCTCCGCCCCCCCACACACAAACTCATTCTCCTGCTGGTAATAGCCCATCCAAAGTGACCACTCTCTTTACAATGTGTATGATAATCAAGGTGGGCCATTTCCAGCACTAATGCAGGTTTTCTCACTCCCCCCCCCCTTTTTTTTCCAAAAACCACACACACAAAGAGTGAGTTTGTGTGTGTGGTTTTTGAAAAAAGGAGGAGAGGTGGCGGGCTGAAGAGAGTAAGAGGTGGGCTGAAGACAGGGCTGAAGCTCAAATGTGGCAGCAGCATGATGAGAGGAGGCAGGATTCAATGCTGAGGCTGCTGGAGGACCAAACCAGTATGCTCCAGTGTATGGTTGAGCTGCAGCAAAGGCAGCTGGAGCACAGACTGCCACTACAGCCCTTGTGTAACCAACCGCCCTCCTCCCCAAGTTCCATAGCCTCCACACCCAGATGCCCAAGAACGCGGTGGGGAGGCCACCGGCCAACCAGCAACTCCGCCACAGAGGATTGCCCAAAAAAAAGAAGTCTGTCATTCAATAAATTTTAAAGTTGTAAACTTTTAAAGTGCTGTGTGGCATTTTCCTTCCCTCCTCCACCACCCCTCCTGGGCTACCTTGGTAGTCATCCCCCTATTTGTGTGATGAATGAATAAAGAATGCATGAATGTGAAGCAACAATGACTTTGGTCGAAGGGAGGAGGGGAGGGTGGTTAGCTTACAGGGAAGTAGAGTGAACCAAGGGGCGGGGGGTTTCATCAAGGAGAAACAAACAGAACTTTCACACCGTAGCCTGGCCAGTCATGAAACTGGTTTTCAAAGCTTCTCTGATGCGTACCGTGCCCTCCTGTGCTCTTCTAACCGCCCTGGTGTCTGGCTGCGTGTAACCAGCAGCCAGGCGATTTGCCTCAACCTCCCACCCCACCTTAAACGTCTCCCCCTTACTCTCACAGATATTGTGGAGCGCACAGCAAGCAGTAATAACAGTAGGAATATTGGTTTCGCTGAGGTCTAAGCGAGTCAGTAAACTGCGCCAGCGCGCCTTTAAATGTCCAAATGCACATTCTACCACCATTCTGCACTTGCTCAGCCTGTAGTTGAACAGCTCCTGACCACTGTCCAGGCTGCCTGTGTACGGCTTCATGAGCCATGGCATTAAGGGGTAGGCTGGGTCCCCAAGGATAACTATAGGCATTTCAACATCCCCAACAGTTATTTTCTGGTCTGGGAATAAAGTCCCTTCCTGCAGCTTTTGAAACAGACCAGAGTTCCTGAAGATGAGAGCGTCATGTACCTTTCCCGGCCATCCCACGTTGATGTTGGTGAAACGTCCCTTGTGATCCACCAGAGCTTGCAGCATTATTGAAAAGTACCCCTTGCGGTTTATGTACTCGGCGGCTTGGTGCTCCGGTGCCAAGATAGGGATATGGGTTCCGTCTATGGCCCCACCACAGTTAGGGAATCCCATTGCAGCAAAGCCATCCACTATGACCTGCACATTTCCCAGGGTCACTACCCTTGATATCAGCAGATCTTTGATTGCATGGGCTACTTGCATCACAGCAGCCCCAACAGTAGATTTGCCCACTCCAAATTGATTCCCAACTGACCGGTAACTGTCTGGCGTTGCAAGCTTCCACAGGGCTATCACCACTTGCTTCTCAACTGTGAGGGCTGCTCTCATCTTGGTATTCATGCGCTTCAGGGCAGGGGAAAGCAAGTCACAAAGTTCCATGAAAGTGCCCTTACGCATGCGAAAGTTTCGCAGCCACTGGGAATCGTCCCAGACCTGCAACACTATGTGGTCCCACCAGTCTGTGCTTGTTTCCCGAGCCCAGAATCGGCGCTCCACAGCATGAACCTGCCCCATTAGCACCATGATGCATGCATTGGCAGGGCCCATGCTTTCAGAGAAATCTGTGTCCATGTCCTGATCACTCACGTGACCGCGCTGACATCGCCTCCTCGCCCGGTATCGCTTTGCTAGGTTCTGGTGCTGCATATACTGCTGGATATACTGCGTGTGGTGTTGAATGTGCTCCTAATTGCCAAAGTGAGCTGAGCGGCCTCCATGCTTGCCTTGGTATGGCGTCCGCACAGAAAAAAGGCACGGAACGATTGTCTTCCGTTGCTCTGATGGAGGGAGGGGCAACTGACGACATGGCTTACAGGGTTGGATTCAGGGAGCTAAAATCAACAAAGGGGGTGGCTTTACATCAAGGAGTATTTCAGGCAGGACTTCATGGAGGGTTTCAATAAGAAATGATGCACCTAAGTTATTGTTCTTATTGGAACAAGGAGGTTAGCCTGGCCTCTGATTGATACATGGCTAGATTTACTTCTCTGCACCTTCTCTGTGAGTGACAACAGTGTGACCTAGAGGAATGAGTCCCCTAGACAGGGGAGGGGGGGAAGCAAATGAGTACAAAACAAATCTGGTCTATTTCTTGTTTTGATCCATCTATCCATCTCCATCTATCTTTTACATCTTTGGCTGGCAGCAGACGATGCAGAAGGACTGCATGCCATCCACATCTCATGGCTGCTCGGCAGAAGATGGTACAGTACGACTGCTAGCCATCCTCATCTCTTGCCTGCCCGGCAGAAGATGGTACAGTACAACTGCTAGCAATCCGTATCGCCTGCCTGCTCACCATAAGACGGTTCAATAGGACTGACTGCAGGACTAAAGAGAATGACCTGGTCAAGTCACTCCAAATTTAGTCCCTGCACCCATGTCTGCTCAGGCGCTCCCAGCCGACATGGCCAGGAGCACCTCGGACACGACGATGATGGCTACCAGTCATATTACACCGTCTGCTGCCACAAGGCAAGGGGTTGCTGCTACTGTGTAGCAACGCCGTACCGCGTCTGCCAGCACCCAGGAGACATACGGTGACGGTTACCTGAGCGGGCTCCATGCTTGCCGTGGTATGGCGTCTGCACAGGTAACTCAGGAAAAAAGGTGCGAAACGATTGTCTGCCCTTGCTTTCACGGAGGGAGGGAGGGAACGGGGGCCTGGGTATGTACCCAGAACCACCCGCGACAATGTTTTGCCCCATCAGGCATTGGGATCTCAACCCAGAATTCCAATGGGCAGCGGAGACTGCGGGAACTGTGGGATAGCTACCCACAGTGCAACGCTCTGGAAGTCGACTCTAGCCTCGGTACTGTGGAAGCACTCCGCCGAGTTAATGCACTTAATGCACTTAGAGCATTTTCTGTGGGGGGACACACACTCGAATATATAAAACCGATTTCTAAAAAACCAACTTCTATAAATTTGACCTTATTCCGTAGTGTAGACATACCCTTGCTTAAGTTAGTTGGGTGAGGAGACAGAAAGTTTTGGTAAGGGGCGTGGGAAGGTAGTATATTTAAAATAAAAAAACCCAAAGTTTTACCTGCCCCCATAATCATAACTCTCTATTTTGCTGTGTGGCTAGGACCCCTGACTATGCTCATGTAACCAGGTTAGCTGGCCTTCCTCCTTCACAACTCTCTGTGCATCAGGACTATCACACCTGCTTCTGACACTGCACTGTGCACATCCTCCAGGCACTGTGAATCAATATAAAATAACCACACGAATGGTCCCAGAATACAGTGATTGATAAAACATGGTCAGAGGGATGGTATGTGCGGATTCACAAACTCAGCTGACATATGGCTGTGAACCAAAGTCGTATGTGGATCCAGTTCAGATGTATTTGCCATAACCAGGTCAGATGAGAGTGTCATGAGCCAGCATACAAAAATATGATTCATTTAATATAATGAAGCTGAGGGAAATCCATCATTCTGACAGCTTCTGACACCTTACCAGGTGCAATGCTTTCTCCAGCTTCTGTCACCATCATGGCACACACACACACGCCCTTTAACCAAAGGAGAGAATGGGAGGGGAGGGAGTCTCCTTCAAAACTGCCACAAATGCTTCCTAGGCGTGCGGCCATGCAGTCAGTATTTTCTCTGTTCCTAGGAGCCTATTCAATTGTGACCTTATACTTGGTCACCACCAACATAGGAAATGAACACCCAGAGGTCTGTTATCATCTTGTTGATAGATTAATAATTCATATCTCTTTACAGGTCGAACTAAGTAATGAACATTGACTCAGCAGTGCTGCTGTTGCTGAAGAAACAGACTTCAGAAGAAAAGACCAACTTTGTGAACCGTTGTCACAGAAGAGACATGTCCTATATTTCTCACAGAGTGTGTGGATTGCTCTTCCCAGTGTGACTGAATCCTTCAGTCGCAGCCTCAGTATCATTATCAGCATTGCCATTAGATGGATACTTGTAGATGATATTGAATTTTTTAAATTATTTACTTATATGGACACTTGTAAATTGTAAATTGTTTTCTTTTTTTAATTTTGTTTTTTTACAATACCTAGTGTTAAGGCATGAAAACAAATCAACCTGTGAAAATTCTAAGAGAAAAATGTGTGTTTCTCAAGAAACTCAGTATTTCTGGACTGATACAATCATACTGTGCCTGACAAAGATAGTGTTGGTAAATGATAATATGACTCCAGAATACGTCAGGGGTTAGACACCTATAGTGTAATATGGACTGTCTTCAATAATGTATCAGACATTCACAAAGTCTGCACCTAATGTTGGTTGAGCTACTGTAAGTAGTAGAAACTGATAAATAATTCTTCTTTTCCAGATGTCCTAATTACCAATATGCTTGTCTAAATATTCCAATTCATATATGGTTTCTTCTCCCTCTTTTCGTCTCCTCCCCTGCACCCACAAACAGTAGTTGTCTGTGAGTTGAAGAGAAGTGAAATGGATGTTCTCTATTGATGTCAGTCTCCAAGAACCCTTAAAAGCAGGGCTCTTTTAGATGTCTGTAATTTGCACATTTTTTTTACTCTTTTCCCCTCTTCCCAGGAAGAAGCCAAGCATGAATGTACAATATAGGCACCATCTACAGCCTTAGGAGTCTCTGGGGTGAATTTTGTTCTTCATTTAAAAGTAAACAAGAAGATCTGGATATGAAAATGTGTATAAAAGTTTGTAAAATTTTCTGTAAATACTTATCGAAAAAGGACATGTATGTAACTGTGCGGCATTTTGTTTTATATTCAGTCACCACCAGTATAAAAAGAAAAGTCATACGCAAAAGCTATTTTCTGTGGGGAGTTGGCAGTCTTTTTCGCAAGACTTTTTTCATAATTTCTTTTTTATTAATTACTATTTAGAATATTGCATATGGTACAAGGCTGAGAGAGTGAAGTCCTCTGTCTCTCCATGGAACCAGTACTCCCTCCATGGAACCAGTACTCCCTCGGAGGCAGCATCACAAGCTTCCTCAGAAAGGTCTGCCAATCAGCCTCAAGTTTTGGAAGAAAAACCTGTAGGGCTGTGAGAGCACTTCCATCTTTGTGCTTACTCAGTTTGTTACTTCTTTGATGAAACTGTCAGGAGGGATGGTATTTGTGATGTGCACACCTGCACCTGTCCATTAGGAACTGGACCGAGGCCACCAGGTTCTTCCATATAAGCCACAAAGAGTCTTCAGATGCTAATGATTTCTTGTCCATCATCAATGGGCTGAGGCATACAGCCCCTCAACTAATTGTCTTATGTGAAGCTTACTTCACTTGCATTTTCTGTTACCAACAGATTACAACTAGACTAAAGCTTGCCTTGGTTCTTTACATTGGAAACTATACTTGTGCTATTTACCAACAAGAACCTAATCAAAAAGTCAGCAAACACAATGCTGTCCATCATTTTTAGATTGTTGAGCCCAGAAGGTCTTGTGGTGCTTGCCCTTTTTTCACATTCAGCTCAACCAAAGATCACACTGTCTTTTGTGAAGAAATAGATCTTGCCGTAATTTCACGTAGGCTACTTTTTCCTGAAACTATGTACGAAACAACTGCCAAGCCAAGAACAAGCAAGAATGACAATGCAATAAAATCACGTGTCAGTATTTTCTGTGACTAGGCAGTACAGGACAGTATGCAGCGCTAGAAGTCAAATAGTGCCAAAAAAGAGGATACTTTGTGCAAAAGATAATACCACATTTCTCTGAGTCTCTGTGTTCTTCTGTTGTTCCCTGCTGCACCCTGATGCCAGATACTTGGTCTGCCCTGTCTTGAACTCCTAGTCTTCTGAGAATGTCAAAAATGGGTAGTTTGTCACAAAAATAATAGGAGAACTCTGTCATTTTTGAGACACCACAGCTGGACCTCAGAAGACCAAACTGCAGAACAGTTAATATTTGTAAATCACTTATATTTGACAAAATGGCCCTCGGTAGAGTTTATTGTTTGAGTGTGTACCGGTGCGCGTGATTTAGTTTCTTATACATACAGCCTTACATAACAACCTATAAGCATATGATACAGCTAACAGATGCCTACAGCTTTCTCTTATCTATGTCAGTGCACTTCAGAGTCGAGGATTTTTTTTGAAAAAGTTTTGTTAAAACTTGTTTACGTGCCTGAATACTCCACTTTTCCCCTGCTCTGCACACACAGGGGTGTTCAGCATATATTCCTACAGTTCCTCCCTGCGGCCGGAGCCTTTGCCCATCCCAGGGAGTGGTGGGAGCTGCTTTTGCTGCAGTGTTTAGCTACACATACCCTACATGCCCCCAGCAGCGCAGTCAAGGCCACACCTTTGACTGCAGTGTAGACATACCCTCCAGTCGCAACATTTATTTCCTACCCTAAGTGAAGGGGAAAGTTGGTCATCTCAAATACCACCAGTAACAAACTCTGAATTTTTAATGGCAAGCACTGTATGCCTCTCTGAGCCAGGCTGTTTAATTTCCTTTCACTTTAGGTTTATCTGATTAAAAAAAAACAACCCAGCAATCTATCAAGGTCCTATAACAGTGTTTGACAGTGGCAAACAAAATTGACATCCCAAACTAATTGGCTTGCCTCCTTCTAGAATTAGTCTCATTTAGTTTAATTATAATAAATTACAAGCTGGGAGCTGTTTTTTGCAGTGAATAAGTTTTCTTCCAACACAGCAAAAGACTCAATATTTACATACCCCATTTCTACATACCTTCTGTGAGAAACCACTTCAGCTCTTATCCAGCATATAAAATCTTCAGCCAGAAACTGCTTGTTTAAAAGTCTTCACTCCAGATCATTTACAGTGTTGTTATAATTGTGATAGTCCCAAAATATTAGAAAGGCAAGGAGGGCAAGGTAATATCTTTTATTGGACCAACTTCTGTTGGTGAAGAAGAGCTCTGTGTAGCTCAAAAGCTTGTCTCTTTCACCAACAGAAGTTGGTCCAGTGGAAGATACTACCTCACCCACGTTGTCTCCAGACCCTCATTCATCATTTACGTATTTGGGGTTAAACCCTGCAAAGTTCTCAGCACTCTCAAATCTCATTGAAGTCAGTGGAAGTTAATGGCAGTCAGCCATTCATGTGTTCCTTGTGCATGTCTTTGCTATAATTTACCACCTGTTGGCTAACCTTTTTATCTACCTTAATAATAATAATTAGTACTTATTTGCAGATAAACTCCAATTATCAATAACTTAAACATTTTGAAATATCTAAAATTCAGAAATATCTCCCGAAATCAGAATTTTATTTTTCCAAAATTCTGATCTTCTGATGTATCCCCCCCATAGTATATTAATCACTGTAGTGCTTCACATGTTCAAATTGTTTAACAAATTAGTCTCCTCAACAGCCTTGTGAGACAGGTATGTACGTAGTAGTAGCCTCATTTTACAGATGGGAAAGTTCAGTGTATGTTTTAAGTGCATTTATCTGTGACAAAGACGCCTATCTAGATGAAATAGCATTTAAATATATTTCCATCACATTTGCTTTGTCAGTTCTTTCATCCTTCAATACTCAGTACTTCTCTGATATATCTAAATTACTATATAATCTATATTTGTATTGTGACATTTATCTGGACGAGGGTGCCAATAACACTGTTATGATGCTGAGAAATATAGCCATGTAAAATGATTCCATTGCATAGTGCTCATTGGTAAGGCTGACTATTTGCAATGAAACCAAAGGCAGTGTACAGAGCAGACAAACTGGACAGCCTGCCTCCTGTTTTCTTCCCACATTTCAGAGTGAGACAGATAGAGGAGTAACATAAAGCAAAGGATCTGGGCTGGAAAAAAACAGTAATAAATGATCAAATTTCAGGTGTAACTCCAGTGAAGTCACAAGGGTTATAAAGGGATGAATTTGGCCACGGGCATCTTGTCTGCCTTCTAACTGCATAGATACTTGTATTGATTGTTATTTGACAGCCTTTTCTAAGGTGTGCTCTTTACCTCACTGTTTGGCTGACTGTTTACAACTGATTGTACTTTTCACTGTAATTTCTGTTTCTTGCATGTCCATTATGTGTAATGTTTATGTTTACAGGGGTCTTTATTTTTAAACAAATGAAACATCTGGATCTAATCCCTACTCCCCAACTTTCACTTGCATCTGCTCATCAGTTCCGCTTAGCATGACAGGAGAGCATGTGAAGTGCTTCCTTGTTGTAGGTCTTCAGGGAATAATTGCCATTGCATGTCTGTTGCCATTCAAGACTAGCACCATAATTGGGAGCGAGTACCACTAAATAACAGCTATGTCCCAAACACTGCTGAGAAGCCACTGATGTTCTCATTCTATTGCTAGCACCACAAGGAATTATTGAACAGTGTAACTGACATCACAGTGTATGAGCTGTTTTTCCACAGTTCCCTAGTTACTTAATTCCAATCATATAAAGGCATGTTTTCAAAATGCTTTTGGACACGTGTGTCCCAGGCTAAACCCACTGAAGTTGTTAGAGTTACACCTGAGATTAATTTGGCTCAAAGACACTACCATTAACCTATTCCCAGGTGTTACAGGAAAATAGTATACCCGATCAATTCATGTGGTATCATGTTGATGGAGGGGTGACAGCATTTCCTAGCATGTGACATGCTTGAAGTGAAAGGCATGTTATATGTAAGCCAATCGGTTCTTATGGGGTATAAATCAGTGCAAATGTTGGCTCATAGTGTTAAGTAGAATAAAGGATATATTTTGTTTACCGCTACAGAGTGATTACATGAAATCACCTGTGCTGCAGTATCTGTAGCCAAAACCAATGCACGGCAGTGAAGAATTCAGTCCTGTAGCAACTCATTTAAGCAACCACACTATGATATTAGTAACATACTAAAAACCTAGGTGATTTTCTACCATCTGTACACTCCCCTGATCCTCAGGTCTGCCACAGCCCCCAGCATAAATCAGAGCAGACTCAGTTGCCCTAAGAATTTAGACCCTATGTCAGTGGGGCTGGGGGCGGGGAGGCGGGGCTGGTTCAGGATTCTTCTGCACTCAGGGAATCTTCAGCTGATGCTTTGAGGGAGCTTTAATTTCCCCTTGCACCACTCTAGTATGGTATGCTCCAGCAGTGCAAGGGGGACTTAAAAAGGGATGAGGATCTTTACTGATCACCAGTAAAAAAAAATGACATGCATGGCTTAGTGTAATCTAGTCACTAGTTTCTAGAGCTAGGTGCCATCACCAGTGAGTAACCTATACTCACAGGATGTCCTTGAATGCTGAATTTTATGTTTGGAGTCTCTCTGAGACCCTGGCCTTGTCTATTCCAGCTAGCCAAAGGCATAAGCTGCTCTCAGGAAATGAGTTTCTGACACACTGACGATGGCAAAATATAACTTTGGTGTTCCAGCTAAAGTTGTCGCTGTTCTGGTTAAACCCCACTTCAATCCCATTTTTAATCTCACCAGGTAGGAGCCTGCTGCATAAGATTGTTTGCTGCAGTTAGTGAAATACACACACAAAATTGAATCTTTAAAATTGTTGTTGGTTATGGTGTGTGTGTTTTTTAACATGGCTTTGGTCCAAGAATTTCAATGGCAAAGTAATGACTATAAATTATAATATGGACAGGTATATGAGCGACAGAATGACAGTTTGCTTGCTGTTACATTGTACTAACTGTGCCATCTCCTGGCTAATGCCAGAAGTACCTAGGGCACTGTGTATGTGTTCTGCTGAAAGTGGGGAAAATAAAAGTAACACATCTTTCTAGTGGCACCTGCTGATATAATGCAGACAGGGTGCTGTCAGCTCACAACACATGGTGGAAGCTTTTGTTCTTGCACTGCCTGCTTAAAGCAGAAATACAACAAAGTGTGTACTGCTCATTTTGACAATGGAACTTGTTGAGTTTTATAGTAAATATATTGTCAATGTGATGTTTTCTTCCAGTCAGAATTTATACTGTCCCATAAAAATCTTCACTGTGGAGTACGTTCACTATGTGTTATCTTGCTTTATAGGAAATTCGGAGCTGCTAGGTCTCCGTTAATTGGAAGCATATAATCTTATTAATTCCAAGCACTACCTGGCACTGCTTCTTCCATTTCAGTAATGGGAAATACTCTGGATTTACAGTGGTGTAACTTCGACTAGATTCCAGCCATGTATATGTATAATATATACACATGTTATACTCACATTTTAATGTGACCTGAAAGTTTTATGGCTAGAAATCCTTAGAACATATTTTTACTTCTCTAAGTAACCGTTGAGTCTAGGTACAGATCACAGTACACAAGCAGTAGCTGGATTATTCTTTTCCATTATGAATAAATTGTACATTGAACTAGAAAGTGGTTACCAGCTGAACTGATGAGCTGTGTGTGGTACAGTATGTTTACAAATACTTAGTTTCTCAGAGCTAAATGAAAAACCCTGTGGCAAAAATGTTTATTAAGAACAGTGCTTTGACCCTGAGAGGTGAGAAACGCACTCACAAACACCTTCGAAGTCAGTGGTTTTTCCTTTACTGTCTTACGGTAATGTACCTTCAGATTCAAGCTGCTTATAGCCCAAAGGTTTAAGGTCCTCCTAAGCTGGGCAGGATCCTTTATGTTCCATCCTGGTTATGTGGCTAGTGTGGATTTATTTCATTTTGTGTTTTAGTGTGGGGCTCATTAGTGACATTTTTTAAATGAGAAACAGTCCCCACTTTTTTACACCAATTTTAAATTAGGTCAAATGTGGGGTTTAAATTAGTTGATACCGTACCTTTAGAGAGGGCTGGGGTTATTTTTCTAAAACAATCTTATTGTATCTATTTGTTTTAGTACTTCAAAAGTAGATCAGAACTCTTTCCCCTTTATCTCTGAGTAGTAATCTGCAATACAAAGCCATTGATGTGTTTGGGGCATCTCTTCCTCATTGCTCTGAGTTGTCAGAAACATCAAATTCCCAAAGGATGATTTACCAGCCAACTACATTAAGTGCAAAGAGAGACAGAAATTTCTTCTTCTTTCATGTTAAGAATTGATTATTTATTTGAGTGAAACACAATATATTCATTGGGCTGAAGGCAAATGTGCCATTTTTAAACATATAATGTGGAAATGTGCAATCAGTACAAATGCTGCTTCTTTAGATTTGTTTAATAACCAGCTCATGTGGGGAGCAAGGATAATAAAACTTTTTGAGTCAGAATCTTCGGGGGGAGAAGGGGTGAAGGAGGGACAAAAAGATATACCCATGTATTCTTTTCCCATTTCCAGTTTCAGAGCAGACATTACATTTGTCAAGATAGAAATGTCGTTGAATAATGTACTGCAAGACCAGTTTTCATACCTTTTGAGATTCATTCTATTCATACAGCAGATCCATTATATGCCTCTCATTCTGCTCTGTGTGACACATAATTATGCATAACATTACTCAGGATATTGGAAATGGAGTCTCCATAATAAATACAATTTCTGCTTCCAAATTAAATGGAGCTGATTTCTTGGAGTCAGCTGGTATAGGGCTGTCAAATTCTATTCTCTGAAGAAGCTTGTGTCAGTTATAATGATGTTTAAAAAGGCTCTGATGAAGACCTGAGTGAGTCAAAACATTAGCAGTTAATGGTGCCTAGATCTATCTTTGTCATTCTGGAGAAGAATAAATAAAAGGAGACTGGACTTGGTGAATGGGGACTTCTTACAGTACTTCAATAGAGCAATTACTTTACTTTACAAAGTGTCATTAGGAATAGAGTAGAAAATTCAGCCTTCTTGGGTTTAGAGATAGCATTAGGTACTGTATTCATTGTATTAGTTGTAGAAATATTAAGGACAAAAACAGTGTGTTGTATTTATGAAGCAGCAGCATTGTCTAATGGTTAGAGCACAATCTAGGGACCTAGAATCTAATCATGGCTCTGAGACTGACTCACTATATGATCTTAAGTTGTTTAACCTTTCTGTACGTCATTCCTCCTCTGGAAAATGAGGATAATACAATCTACACAACACTTGCCTCGCAAAGCTGGGTTCTCATAATAAGCACCTTATCCACACTCTACATATGTAATGCAGCATACTTATTAGCCTATTAAATGTAGACTATTCATTACTATTATATATTTGTATAGCACCGTATTTTGCATGTTACTTTCCAGGATTTTTTAAAATGGTCTTGTCAAGGTTCCTTCCCCACTCTGAACTCTAGGGTACAGATGTGGGGTCCTGCATGAAAACCCCCTAAGCTTATTTTTACCAGCTTAGGTTAAAACTTCCCCAAGGTACAAACTATTTTACCTTTTGCCCTTGGACTTTTTTGCTGCCACCACCAAGCGTCTAACAGATATATAACAGGGAAAGAGCCTGCTTGGAAACGTTTTTCTCCCCAAAATCCTCCCCAAACCCTACACCTCCTCTCCTGGGAAAGGCCTGATAAAAAGCCTCACCAATTTGTATAGGTGAACACAGACCCAAACCCTTGGATCTTAAGAACAATGAAAAAGCAATCAGATTCTTAAAAGAAGAATTTTAATTGAAGAAAAAAGTAAAAGAATCACCTCTGTAAAATCAGGATGGTAAATACCTTACAGGGTAATCAGATTCAAAACATAGAGAATCCCTCTAGGCAAAACCTTAAGTTACAAAAAGACACAAAACAGAAATATACATTCCATTCAGCACAGCTATTTTATCAGCCATTTAAACAAAACAGAATCTAACGCATATCTAGCTAGATTACTTACTGTCAAAGTTTGACTCAGACTCACAATTTATCAGACCACTCTGTTTTATTAGCAAAGCTGCTCTGCTAATACATTTAGAAGTGAGCCCCCCAAGTGGGGCTTGTGTGTTTTAATTTATACAGTTTTTTGGAGAACAAGTTACAGAGAAGTTACAGACAAAAGAAGAAAAAGATTTTAGTCACCACCCTTCGAGATCCCTGAGACCAGTCACGTATCTTCAATTACCTGCCACCCTTAACAATCTCCTTTAACAGCTTCCAGTTAACTTAACTAATTGCTCTTCACACCTTCCATTCTGATGCCTGCTTCTTAGATGTGCTGGCTCTATCTTAATTGCTTCTCCATTCAAAAGCTAACTGTCCCTATGTGTGCTCCCTCAGATACTTTGTAACATGTTTTGGCATGCCTTCTCATATACAATGTATCCAGCATGTCCCCTTATACAACGTTATACATATACAATGTTATACTGCCACATTACCAAGTTCTAAGACTCCATTCCTTTTCTGTTCCTGGACAAAAGCATCACACAGACACAGAGAGCCTTTGTTTCTCCCCGCCTCCAGCTTCGAAAATATCTTGTCTCCTCATTGGTCATTTTGGTCAGGTGCCAGCGAGGTTATCCTAGCTTCTTAACCCTTTACAGGTGAAAGGGTTTTTCCTCTGGCCAGGAGGGATTTTAAAGGTATTTACCCTTCCCTTTATATTTTTGACAGGTCTGTAGCCCAAAGAGTTTACAGTCTAAAGACCTGATTGTGAAATTCCATGAGATCTGAAGCAGCATATAGCTGCACTGCCATTGGAAAAGCCAGACCAAATTGTGCCCCAAAGACTTACTATTCAGTCCCTGCTCTCCCTTGCTCCAGGATGGAGGTAATCTGTGCTACTACTGTACTTCACTTCCCCCTCTACGCCAGCCCAGCTCAGCTGTGCTGCCTGGGATGTTGCAGGGAACAGGAACATTTACAATGAAAGGGAGTAATATCTATTAGAATTATTTGAGGGGGTCAACAAGCATGTAGACAATGGTGCCTTAGTGACTATATTTCAGAGTAGCAGCCGTGTTAGTCTGTATTCGCAAAAAGAAGAGGACTTGTGGCACCTTAGAGACTAACAAATTTATTTGAGCATAAGCTTTTGTGAGTTACAGCTCACTTCATCGGATGCATTCAGTGGAAAATACAGACTATAGTGTACTCAAACTTTCAGAAAGGCTTTGACAAGGTCCCTCACCAAAGGCTACTAAGCGAGTAAGCAGTCACGGGATAAGAAGGAAGGGCCTTTCATGGATCAGTGACTGGTTAAAAGATAGGAAAACAAAGGACAGGTATACATGGTCAGTTTTCACAATGGGGAGAGGTAAATAGCAGGGTCCCCTAAGCAGCTATACTGGGACCTTTGCTGTTAACATATTCATAAGTGATCTGGAGAAGGGGGTAAACTGTGAGGTGGAAAAGTTTGCAGATGACACAAAATTACTTAAGATAGTTACATTCAAAGTTGACAACGATGAGTTACAAAGGGTGACTGGGCAACAAAATGGCAGATGAAATACAGATAAATGCACAGTAATGCACATTAGAAAACATAATCCCAGCTAAACATGCAAAATTATGGGGGTCTAAAGTAGCTATTACCATTCAAGAAAGAGATCTTAGAGTCATCATGCATAGTTTTCTGAAAACATCTACTCAATGTGCAGTGGCAGTCAAAAAAGCTAACAGAACATTAGAAACCATTAGGAAAGGGACAGATAATAAGACAGAAAATATCATAATGCCACTATATAGATCCATGATATGCCCACACCTGGAATACTTTGTGCAGTTCTGGTTACCTCAAAAATATAGATTAGAATTGGAAAAAGTACAGAGAAGGGCAACAAAAATTATGAGGGGTATGGAACAGTTTCCACATGAGGAGAGATTAAAAAGATGGGTTCTTCTTAGAAAAGAGACTATTAAGATGGGATATGATAGAAGTATATACAATCATGGCCGGCATGGAGAAAATGAATAAGGACATGTTATTTACCCCTTCACATAACACAAGAACCAGGGGTCACCCAATGAAATTAATAGGGAGCAAGTTTAAAACCCACATAAGGAAGTACCTTTTCACACAATGCACTGACAACCTGTGGAACTCATTACCAGGTGGTGATGTGAATGCCAAAAAATTCAACTGCGTTCAAAAATAATTAGATAAGTTGATGGAGGATAGGTCTATCCATGGCTATTAGCCAAAATAGTCAGGAATGCAACTCCATGCTTTGGGTGTCTCTAAACCACCAACTATGAGAAGCTGGGTCTGGATGATTGGATGGATCCCTCAATAATTGTCCTGGTCTGTTCATTCCCTCTGAAGTATCTGGCACCAGCCACTGTCAGAAGACAGGATACTGAGCTAGATAAACCATTGGTCTGACCAGGTAGGGCCACTTACGTTCTTAGGAAAGGGAGAGAGATAATATGACTCACATTGTTATATAATAGGAGAGCCATATAAGTTCTGATTCTTTTAAGCAGAGGCTGAGATAGGGCAAGAGGGGAGATGGCCTGGAACCAGCCACCAAATGTGGAAAAGAAGGTGAAAGAAGTGGGGTTTGAAAAGAGATTTGAAGGCTGCAAGTGAGGACATGTGGCCCACAGGAAGGGGAATGTCCTTCCATGTACTGCAACCAATGGGGCAAAGGCACAAGACAAGGAATAGGGCAAAGCAGGAAGAGCACCAGGGCAAGCTGGGGAGCACCTCCAGATGATAAAATGAGCTGCTGAAGGCAGGAGAAGAGCCAGGCAGGTTGAAAAATGAGAACAGGAAGCTTGGTCTGTACAAAAAACTGTATCACCTCCCACCTTCCTATTGTCTTGCTCCTTCCAGGTGTGCTGTGAGGGACTGTCCTGGGGAAGGTGTATCATTTGCTCTGATTTGTCTTTTACTCTGAGAGCACAAAGGAGAAAATATTTATTAAACACAGTGTTCTCAAAGACTCTGTCACTTTGTTCACACACAACTCTTTGGACTATATTTGTACTGTATTGTTTCGCTTATCTTTTTCTTAGTGTATTGGTTTAGATCTGTATTGGATGGGTTTACTTGAAAGACAAATAAAGGACTTGCACTACCAGGAATTCTGTTGCTGGGGGTCTTCTCTGTGCTTTCTCAACTGGATGAGCTACTTATACGTAGCTTCAGTTCAAGAACTAAAAATAGCAGGCTCTTATTTAAAGGATTGTGGTTTCTCTGTCTCTTTCCTCCCCTCAAAGTGACTGCACTCAGATAAACTCCATGAAGTGGCTGGGAACTGGCACAAATGCCAACATATTGCTCTTCACTTGTAGCTGAAAGTGCAGTTGTTGCCTTTGTCATCAACAAACCCTGAATGCAGCCTAAGAACACAGCTATGAAATCTGACATGATGTTCTCTGGCCTCCACTGTCACTTCGCCAGATCATCTCTGAAAAACTGATTAAAAGTGCACCACACTGAGCAACAATGGATGATATACTAGTCGCTAATGCTGCATGCACTGCCAGTGCCTCCAGCAAAAGCTCTGGGCTACATTTGTTTATTATATTTTCTTTCCTTCCTTTTGTGATTAAAAAAGGAGGGGATTAAAGATTTTGCTGATACAGATCTAAAACAACACACTCACACAGAGAAAGAGAAACAATAAATAAACACACAGTACTAAAGCAATTGGACTGATCCTGTGCCCTTTGAAGTAAATGACAAAACCACCCATGGTAATAGGGATCAGTAATAATACCATACTGAAGGGTCGATACAATGCCCAGTGAAGTCAGCAATGCCCATGTGAGTTCAATGGGTGCAGTGGCCTCAGTTCAGCAGTCCATGCCTATTGACTTTAAATGGGATTTATGCATTAAATGCTTTGCTGAACTGGGCCTGTGTCAAGGCCAGAAATATAGTTCATGGAACGCTTAACTGTTCCTCTCTCTACATGCCAGCCGAAAATTCTAGTAGCTTTCCAGTGCCCCTTGGTGTAATATCCAGAGGACCACAGTGAATTAAAAGCTTGTCTTTTTCCTGTTTTACTCTGCTGCTTGGAGATTAAGGGATCACTAATGGCAAGTACTTAAAAGAAAATGAAATAATTCTTCACACTGGTCCAAATCTTTATCCTATTGAAGCTTATGGCACAATTGGCCATTGACTTTAATGGGATCAGGATTTGGTCTGCATCAGTTCACAAAGTCAAATACTGTAGCTGGAATTCCGAAGGGAGTTGATAAGTGTGTGCCCTATAACAGCATTTGTCGCTTGTTAACGCTATTACACTCAGCCCAAGGTCTATGATCGGAAGAGGAACAAAGACAGATGGTGAAAGAGAGAAGAGCGAGATAAATACAAGTAAACTAAAATACCTAAGTAGCACATACCTGAAGTGCCCCAAGAGCAAAGTAGACACGGAACTGAGTCTCAGAGAGTAATGATTCCATCCCTGATTCTCACTTTGCTCCAAGGAGAGATGTAATAGCTGTCAGCCCTTTATCTTATGTCCCTCCCTCCCCTGCCCAGGTGTATCTGGAAAGCCATGACCTTTCCCTAAATAAATAAATAAGAAATGATGATAACACTTGCTACAGTAATATAAAATTAACCAAACCCCATGCTTCAGAGTGTCATTTGACCTCTGCAGAGGATGAGAAGGAATTTGCCAGGACCAGCATTGCATGATTGTTATAAGGCAGCATTGCAATAAAGGGTATTTTGCTTTGTGTTTTACTTTCTTCTGAAGCTCCATCTATAGGTCACTGGAGGAGACGGCTTACCAGAGATGCGGGACTCTTGGTCCAATCTGATACTTTATCGTTGACCAATGCTATGTTCCTATTTAATACTGGAATTTAATTCCTGTCCTCATTCATAAAGCTAAAAGGAAATCAGTAATTAGGTCTTAACATTCATTCATTCTCTACCTTTTAGGCACCACACATAGTGTAGGGTCAAATGACTGAAACCACTATTGGTTTGGTCAAATGAACAAAAATAAGAGCCAGCCAGTTAGCCACATGCCTAAAGTCACTCACTGCATTAAGCAACTAAAGGAAAAAATGGTTTTGTAGTTGGCTGTGCACATTAAAACTTGTGTTCTGTACAGAGATGTTAACTTCTTGTATGGCATTTCCATATTTCTTCTTATTACTATGTTATTTGTATTACATCAGCTGACCCGGCGCGACCCAACCTGCTACTTACTCTGCAAACATACTGAGAGCTTACTATCAGACAGACAAAGGGTAGGAGGGGAAACAGAGCGAAAATCATGGAATTGCCCAAAATCATGAAGCGAGTCACTAAAGCAGCAAGAAATAAACCCAGGTCTTCTGACTCCCAGTGCAGTCAGTGATGCTGCCTCCCCAGTTAAATTCAATACATACAGTCTCCTCTCATACCCCTCTTGATCTTGGCAATATGAGCTCAGCTGATGACATTGTCACAGTTAAGGACATCTGTACCTCCATTTCCTACCTATGGTCCAGCAAGGGCACTCACTCTAGACACCTCATCTCTCTCCCTCCTGACCGTGGTATTGCCAGGCTGCACAGCTTCCTGCCTACCCTGTGATATTGCCAAAAAAAAAAAAAAAAACAGACAGCCTAAGCAAGGCTGCTTCATTTCTCCCCTTTGAGAGTGTACGCCATGTCGTTGTCACAAATAAGTTACCACACAGCTCTTTCTGAGCAAGCACATTTATTCTTAACTTTAAAGCACTGCAGCGAAAAACAATAAAAGAACCTATACGCTAGTCAATAAGCTTACGAACACTCACCCCCTCATGCCAGCCAGGGCTCTGGTTGGTGATCTGTCCTTCAAAGCCCACACAAGATTTTGTGGCACACAAAGTGGGAGTGGACTAATACAATTTTTAGATGCCACAAAGTTGGGAGGAATTGCCAATACAGAGATGGACTACAATATCATACAAAAAGATTTGGATGACCTTGAGAACTAGAATAATAGAAATGGGATGAAATTTAATAGTGCAAAGTGCAAGTCATGCATTTAGGGCCTAAGAGTTTTTGCTAGAAGCTGGCACTTTACAAGCTGGATGAGACAGAGGCGGAGAAAGTCCTGAGTCTATTGTTCAATCACAGGGTGACTAATAGTCACTGATGTGACGTGGTCATGAAAAAGACTAATGTAATCCTAGAAAGTATAGGCGAGGTATTTCCAGTGGAGATAGGGAACTGTTATACAAGGCACTGGGGAGTCCTAATTTGGAATACTGTGTGCAAGTCTTGAATCCCATGTTGAAAAAAAGATGAATTCAAACTGGAAATGGTGAAGTGAAGAGCTGCTAGGATGGTCAGAGGAATGGAGAACCTGCCTTATGTGAGGAGACTTAAAGAGCTTGACTGATTTAGTCTAACAAAATGAAAATGGAGGGGGTGGGAATATGATTGCTCTCTTTAAAAACATAAGAGGGCTAAACACCAGGTAGGAAGAAGAATTGTTAAGGGCCAATGCAGGCAAAAAAAATAAATGGATATAAACTGGCCATCTACAAGTTTAGGGTTCAATTAGATTAAAGTTGCTAGCCATCAGAGGAGTGCTGGTCTGGAGCAGCCTTCCAAGTGGAGTAGTGGGAGCAAAAATTGTAACTTGTTCCAAGACTCAGGCTGATAAGTTTATGGAGGGAATGGTATGATGAGATTGCAAATAATGGCATGTAACCCATCCACGACTGCTATTAGTAAATATCTCCAACAGCCAGAGATGGGACACTAGATGGGGAGGACTCTGAGTTGCTACAGAGAATTCTTTCCCAGATGTTTGTATGGTGGGTCTGGCCCACATTCTCAGGATCTACTTGATCACCATATTGGGGTCAGGAAGGAATTTTTCCCCAGGTCAGATTGGCAGAGACTCTAGGGAGTTTTCACCGTCCTCTGAAGCACGGGGCTCAGGTCACTTTTGGTTTGTACCAAAGTAAATGGTGGATTCTCTGGAACCTGACATCTTTAAAGTATGATTTGAGGACTTCAGTAACTCAGCCAAAGGATATGCGCCTGCTACGGGAGTGGATGGGTGGACGGGAGTGCACTGTGGCCTGCAGTGTGCAGGAGGTCAGACTAGATGATCATGATGGTTCCTTCTGACCTTAAAGGCTATGAGGCAAAGTTCAACACAGCTTCAGCTCAAAAAAGCCCCCAAATGTTATGGGGCCTCAGTGGGCCAAACATCTTCAAGACCTTCCCTAATTATTGAGCCCCCTCTTGGACCACAAGTCCTGTCCATTTGTTGGATCAGAAAGAACGTTTTAAATCTAACTTTGTCTGCTGGTCCCTGGAGAATCCAGTTTGAACCAGTATATGTGAGCCTCTCTCCTGGTGGTGGTAGCTCTCTGAAGGTATTACAGCCTGAGTAAATTTGCCCAACCAGCCGCCACTGTTCTTAGTTCTTAGTTCCTGGAAGGCTGTGGTTCCCCTCCCATATGGAAATACATACAATCCCTCAATAGTACATAAATATTTGCATTTTTAATACACTGAATGCCTAAATTACATAAACTTCATTCAATACGGTTTGACCAGGATATTACAGACTGTCATAGCTGTCACAGGCATTTCTTCAGTCCCAAGGCTGCTCTAAAGTCTGCCAGCTGACCAGGGGCCACATCACTAGCTAGGGACTACCCAACTGCAGTAGTAAGCTCAGTGCAAGGAGGCGAGAACAAATTGGAGAGAAGAGGGCCTGGAGTATGCTGTGTATGACTCAAAAACTGAGCCTTAGCTCCAGTGATGACACTATAAAGACATTGGCTAAAACTGAAAGAAAAAAGAATATTGGTCCTTAATCAGAAATTTCTAGAAAGGACCCAGATTTTCCTACCGGTATTTTCATGAGCAAATTTCCATATTTGATGGCATCAAGTAAAAATGCTTTACAGATGCATAATACAGCGGGGCTCAGTGAGTCTGTGAGAACAGCAGATGGCTTGTATACATCTGAGGAGGTTTTTAATATTAAACAAATAAATGAAGATTGGAGAGGAGTGTCTCTCATGCATCTTGTTAGATGGTTAATCAGGCAGAAGAGCCATCCCAAATTTTAATTGCCTCAGGTTTTTTTAGCACTCCTATCTAATTTTAAATTGCCTAAATGATTCA